ATGTTATGCACCCACAAACACCGCAGAACCTCGAGAAGAAAGAAGAATTCTACAGACAACTACAGGCAACAATGGACAAAACTCCGGCTGGTGACATTAAAATACTAGTGGGAGACATGAACGCCCAACTTGGGCCAGACAACACAGGAAGGGAACTCATCGTGGGTAGAGAAGCTCTTAAAGAACTGAATAAAAAAAGAGAACTCCTCGCCGAATTCTGCGCCTTCAATGAACTAGTGATTGGTGGCAGCGAATACAAACACAAAGATATCCACAAGGCTGCATGGGTGTCACCAGATGGACAAACCAAAAACCAAATTGACTTCATCTCAATGCTACCCAAGGAAGTGGAGGCACAGCCTACTGGACAAAAAAGTGAATAGAGGAGCGGACATTGCCTCAGACTGCTATCTCGTACAAGGGACAATTCAAATTAAAAGCTTTCAGGGAATCAGGAGCTGCAGATAGACCACAAGGCAAGTTCAACACTCAAAAACTGAAGGACCAAGATACAAAAGACAACTTCAGTGCAAACATAAAGTACAAAGCCGAGGCGCAAATCAACACTGGCAATGGGGTCGGCATCGAAAAGCGCTAGAACAACTTGAAAACGGTGTGTAGTCAAACCGGTATAGAAGTTCTAGGCAGAAGGTGGAGGCAGGACGAACAGTGGCTCACTACGGACACTTAGAGATTACCAGAAGAGAGAAGGACAGTGAAAAAAAGATTATCCAGTGCACCAACGAGTAATAATAACGATGCAAATTGAGCACATCATATGTTCAGTATTTTCCAGCTCTTATCAGAATGAATGAAACACATTCCAGCGAGAAGCTCAAGAAGAATCAATTTTGTTTAGCCCCAGTTCTCTTCTCAGACGGCAACTGTGAGGAGTTCCAGCCATTATCAGAATATTAGGGATGATAGGAATAATGGAGATGACACTAGTAGACGGCAAAAATCGTAGTGATGAATATATAAGTGATTTGTAGCTGATGCAAGTCACATTCCTTCTGTTGCGAATGAATGGTGGGTAGATTATTCATTGTTGTTATTGTTCTTTTGGGTTCCTAGTGGAACATAGGACTTCAACTGCACGTCTCCACTTGATTCTGTCTTCCTCTTGCCGTACTTTTCACCTGCATCCATGTTAGTCAATACTCTTTCAACTCCTCTTTACACGATCTCCTCCATGTCGCTCTTGGATGTCCCACTTGCCGCTTCCCTTTCGGGTCCCACTCGAGCTATGGCCTGACGCGCGATGTTACCAACCGGCCTCCTCAGCGAGTGTCGAATCCATCTCCACCTACTCCTGCATATTCGCTGGGCGATCGGTTCTTGTTTTGTTTGTTCCCATGGTTTCTTGTTGGTGATTCTTTCTGGCCCGGCCGCCTCATACTCAGAATAGAGCGAGGACAGTTGTTGATAAAGGCCAGCTACAGATTGTTGAAAATATTCTTTGTCACCCACCGCCAAGTTTCTGATCCGTTTAGAAGAAGTGACTTGATGTTTGTAGTGAAAACCCGACGGAATTTTGTTATTGTTATTGTTGCTGAGTGCTAAAGATTTCCAGATTGGTTTCAGGTTGATAAATATGTTTCTCGCCTTGCTGATTATCGCTCGATTTGACATCCTCGTCTGTTCCGACTGCGTGTAGTTGAGACAATGCTCCCTATTTAAGTGAATGAAGTGACCTCATTCAAATGGCCCCCGTTGATGGTGATTGACGCTGGATGTTGCTGATGTTTTTGTTGTTGGTTGGTTATTTTCATAACCTTCGTTTTTTTATGTTGATTTGGAGTCCTGTCATCGCCGGCTGCTTCATCGACCAGTTTGTCGGTTTTCGATTGTAGGTCTTCGATTGTGTGTGACATCAAACATAAATCATCCACGCGCGAAATCTAGGTCTTTTAGGTTCTTCACGTCGCATCGATTCAGTATATCCCTGTCTTCTCGTTTCTCGCTCTCTGACGCATAATCCAGTCCACCACAATAAGGAATATCATTGGTGATAATAAGGACCGTCGTCTGACTCCTGTGTTAACTCCAAACGCCTCGCTGAGTTTTCCGTCGTGGATCACTTGACATGTGCCGTTGTGTTGCAGCTGTTGAATTAGTTTGATGAATATTCGGGATACAGCGTAGTAATTTATATGTTTCCAAATTACTTCGCGAGTAGATATCATGGGTCAATTTATCCCCAATGACTTGTGAATCATACAGTTATTGATCAAAGTTTTTCAGTTACATGCTATGAAATTTTGACTAGTTCCTTCATGGTATCATTAAGTAACGTGGAGTCATTATCTCAAATTCGTGATTAACTTCTATTCTATTCATATTTCAATTTGATGGAGAAATAACAACTTGATATCTCAGTCGCTATTCTATGTCGTCTCATAATCATATACGCAGTCGAGTGTTCAGGACTACGTTGAAATTGCGTTGACATAACAGTGGAACAAATCTGTATCCCAGTAATGTCTACAATAATAACAGTATCATGGCGGTGACTGGTTCAAGCCTATTAGTTCTAATCTTCGCATTTCAAAGAAATCAATCAATCAATAAAATCGATACTTAATGCCAGTCATTATGAATATCAGATGAAAAGAGAAATTCCTGGATGATATGTTCGGGATCAGTACAAATATGAGTAATAAGAATGCACCGACTGATCTGAAATGAATTTGTGAACATGAATATCTAATTTGAAAAGACGCAGAATAAAATTCGAGATTATGATTTGTGTAAGTGAAAACATTACAATTTCCACAGGTTAACATATGCGACAAACAAATTTAGATTTCGATGTAGTTGTGTTCTCTCAGCTGAATAGTTGATTTCCGAAGCTTTCATCACCCTACTCGGTGACATCTCCAGCGCACACTTCAACTTCACGAAGTGAGGTTTTCGACTTACACACGAGTTTATTAATCATCTCTCTTGATGACCTTAGACGTGATTGGTTGTTCATGTGTGTGTTTTTACATCTTCTAGGTTACTTGTATTGCAACTGGTTGTTTCTTTGACTTGAACTTTGACCGTTTGTGTGTGAAGTTCCTTTCTTATCGGTTGATAAATTTCGTTTATCTCTATGTGTCTATTGACTGATGATTAACTGCAAGGCCAAGCTTGTAAAAATTCTCAAGCATTCTTGTTGTTTCATCTGTCTAATATTTGAACGTTGGTTGTCCAAGTCGAATCGATGTCCATGGTTGTCTGTATGTAGTGATATAAGGAAGTGGATGTCAGCATGTCTTTTGACGCCTAGCTTATGTTCGTGGATACGATGACGAAGGGGACGTTCACTTTGGCCAATCTAGCGTATTTCGCAGTTAATACAATTTATTGTGTAGATGATGTTGTTGGTTTCATCTTCTTTAGCTATTGAGTCTTTTGATTGACATAGAATTGAGTGAAGTGACTTTGTTGATTTTTGTGCGACGTCAATTCCAATGTCACCAGGAATGATGATTAATAAACTCGTGGAGAAACCTGGAAGCTCACTTCGTGAAATTGAAGTATGCGCTGAAGATGTCATCCATTAGGGTGATGAAAGCTTCACAAATCAACCATCCAGCTCAGAGAACACAACCACATCAAAATCGTTGATGACTCTTCAAACCTGACATACACAAAGATGTGACTAGTTTCAATACGTGTTGTGTTACAGTCTCGGAATTACGAATAACCTGCTAATAATACACAGTCATGATGGTTGAATCATATCGACTTCCCTCAACTATCTGACATTGAAGGAGACCATGAGTATGTGGTGACAGCAGCCTTCTAGCCAATTGGTTGACATTAATCTACGTCAGTGTCTAGGTCACTAATGTGGGCCGTGAGAAAATATGAACAAGGCTGTTTCAACAATCAACCACAGCAAACTTAAACGTGGGCAAATATGATTCGCAGATAGATGGCTCCACTTTCCTGAGGAACTCGAAAACAACCAATCAGGAGACTGCGTTTGTTTACTTGACTAGGCTATAATAATGTATGTGAAATTTATAAGGATATAAGGAAGTGGATGTCAGCATGTCTTTTGACGCCTAGCTTATGTTCGTGGATACGATGACGAAGGGGACGTTCACTTTGGCCAATCTAGCGTATTTCGCAGTTAATACAATTTATTGTGTAGATGATGTTGTTGCTTTCATCTTCTTTAGCTGTTGAGTCTTTTGATTGACATAGAATTGAGTGAAGTGACTTTGTTATTTTGTTGGATACTCATATCGATCTATACGATCTTTTACGAAATCAAGCTTTGTCTTCTCTACCAAAAGCTTGACGGAGAACCACAGGAGACCATGCAGCTCCTTCACCATCACCAGGTCATTTCAACGTTTAAGTACCTACAAAATTCCCATTCAGCGGAGAGACTAGTTTCGGCGAATTCTTACACGATTAGGTGATTTCTATGCATCGGTGCCACTGCCACTGACCTGACAAACGCTTACTAAATATCTGGTTATTTAGGTTACGTCATCCAATTTATTTGCTCAGTTTTAGACCTATTTTATAATTTTTTACTAGTTGATCATGGATTTATATCAGTTAGATAACCATTGATATCAATCCGTGATCAACTCGTTAAAACATAACTAACCCATACAAACCAAAGTATAGAAAAGCTAATTTAGACGACATTATTCTCTACTTCACCGCTACGTATTCTGTATGTTTGATTACCTCTCTTGCTATCTCGTCTTAAGTTGATGCATTTTAGTCAATTATATTGCGTCACCTAACTCACTAACTCAGTCTTACTTTAGTTGTTGTCTAATTAATCTTGTTTCTGTATTAGATCATACTTATATCACCTGATTAATTAATTATTCAAATTCAACAAACCTCATGTACGCAAACAGATAATTATGTGTAAAATACGATTGTACCAGTATGCGAATGAATTCGCCATCGAAACGAGTCTCTTAGGTGAACGTCTTCCCCTTTTTTTTTCACCCGACTCAACAGGAAAAGTTTAAGCAACATAAGTGTTTCACACAGTTTATTCTCAACAAGAAAACTTCAGTAAAATTAAACACTCTTTATATTTTAAAAGTACATACGTTATGTAACACAAAGATTTTTATAAAATAAGAGAGTATACTCCATTATTAAAACTGTTTGATTATTAAATTATTGCATTGTTTTTATTGAAAGCAGTAACAATTTCTAGAGTTAAATTTCATGGTACCCATAGTTGGCTGCCATTGTCCATGTTCGGGTTGAACAGGTGCTACAGTCTCTTTCACTGGGCACACTTCATTGATATTTCTCGCTTCATATGGTCTGACACTAGTATCTACTCTGAAAGTAGGAAAAATCCATGCTATGAGACTGAATTCACAATAGTTTATCAAACGAATTTCAATTCATTTATCTGGCTTAAACATACTTCACAAATACTTGTTGCTTATTTGAAATCCCCGTACTTGTAACAACAGAAGACAGTGGCCAGGCAACAGATCGTTTTATTACGAAAATCAACACGTATTTATATAAATTTCACATACATTATTATAGCCTAGTCAAGTAAACAAACGCAGTCTTCTGATTGGTTGTTTTCGAGTTCTTCGGAAAGTGGAGCCACCTGTCTGCGAGTAATATTTGCCCACGTTTAAGTTTGCTGTGGTTGGTTGTTGAAACAGCCTTGTTCATATTTTCTCACGGCCCATATTAGTGACCTAGACACTGACGTAGATTAATGTCAACCAATTGGCTAGAAGGCTGCTTTCACCACATACTCATTGTCTCCTTCAATGTCAGATAGTTGAGGGAAGTCGATATGATTCAACAATCATGACTGTGTATTATTAGCAGGTTAGTCGTAATTCCGAGACTGTAACACAACACGTATTGAAACTAGTCACATCTTTGTGTATGTCAGGTTTGAAGAGTCATCAACGATCTTGATGTGGTTGTGTTCTCTGAGCTGGGTGGTTGATTTGTGAAGCTTTCATCACCCTAATGGATGACATCTTCAGCGCATACTTCAATTTCACGATGTGAGCTTCCAGGTTTCTCCACGAGTTTATTAATCATCATTCCTGGTGACATTGGAATTGACGTCGCACAAAAATCAACAAAGTCACTTCACTCAATTCTATGTCAACCAAAAGACTCAACAGCTAAAGAAGATGAAACCAACAACATCATCTACACAATGAATTGTATTAACTGCGAAATACGCTAGATTGGCCAAAGTGAACGTCCCCTTCATTATCGTATCCACGAACTTAAGCTAGCCGTCAAAAGACATGCTGACATCGACTTCCTTATATCACTACACACACACACAACCATGGACATCGATTCGACTTGGACAACCAACGTTCAAATATTAGACAGATGAAACAACAAGAATGCTTGAGAATTTTTACAAGCTTGGCCTTGCAGTTAATCATCAGTCAATAGACACATAGAGATAAACGAAATTTATCAACCGATAAGAAAGGAACTTCACACACAAACGGTCAAAGTTCAAGTCAAAGAAACAACCAATTGCAATACAAGTAACCTAGAAGATGTAAAAACACACACATGAACAACCAATCACGTCTAAGGTCATCAAGAGAGATGATTAATAAACTCGTGTGTAAGTCGAAAACCTCACTTCGTGGAATTGAAGTATGGGCTGGAGATGTCACCGAGTAGGGTGATGAAAGCTTCGGAAATCAACTATTCTACTGAGAGAACACAACCACATCAAAATCATCCACCTGAGCTACAAATCTTTTCTATCGTATCATCAACGATTCCAGCAACACAAGCATCAAAAGAATGCATCGTATTAGTCATCTTATACATGTTTCAACAGGGAATAATGTTTTTACAATATAGACCTACAGGTGTTCATTTTTATATGCCATGATGATGTTTTGAGCATGAATTTCTTGCTCAAAATCATGTCAAAGTATTGTCATATCAATCAGCCTCAATGCGATTATGTGCAATATTTGATGTGTGCTGACTCAGAGTAGCTCAAAGGGTGGTTTCTTTAATTCGATGTAGTTCTAGTAACGTTTTTCTTCAGATGGTCTGATAATTACACATTCCAATATGTTCTTTTCAGAATTTAGGAATCACATCAAAAAGGGAATAAATCTGGGTAACATGACCTCTTTCACTTAGCTAGGCAGTATCGTTCCAACTAGAGGTTATTTTTACGGATAAATGTCATATTCACAAATGGAAAGACAAGATCTATTTTCATCGCTTCGATATCATTTTGGAAATCTTCAGAACTCAACACAAAATTGATGAAATTCAGATTTTAGACATCCATGGTACTTTATGATAATGAAATTCGTCCTTCGCGTCACTTCAGATATTTACCAACATCTGCGTTAGCTGACTACATTCTGAAGAGCCCAATCAATAATATGTTGCACAACAAAATATTCGTAAAAAAATTGAGATGGATTGGTCACACGTTGAGGCGACTGCTGCGTGACATATCGCACACAGCCCTCTGTTCTTACTTGAACGGGAAACGACGAGTGAGGGCTGTCTCTGGGTGGGGATAATGTGTGAAATACGGGTAGCAGTAGTAGATTATGGGCAGTTATATGGTCAGCCATAAAGGTCTTCAGAGGGGAGGGAACGAAATGGATATATCCTGATGAAGCCCATTTTTTCAACTGGTAACCTAAGAGAATGTTGGTGAGAAGATAAATTCGAATAATTAAGTACCTTCAATTTATGGAACTGCATCCTTCACCTTCAACATGATAAATTTTCGATTAATTTTACGACGATGAAGGTATCTTGCGTATATGTCATCTACCTATACAAACATTAATCCACTTTAAAACCAGAATAGTATAACTGTTATGGAATGTGAGTTCTAAGCCCGATCACTAAGTTACTTCACTTAGGGAACCGTTGAAGAAAGGAGAATGCTGGAGAGTAGTTGCGTTCTTGTTCGGGATAGTTCAGCAGTGCTTTAGGCCAACGAGCCCATCATAAAATTGACATCAAGACATCCGGCTTACAAAATGAGCGTAAGGACTATCCAGTTCCTGGAACGGAATCTAGTTGATGGGAGCTCCAGCCCTGGATGAACATGGCTTAACACTCCTGTAGCATTTACTATGTGAATTCTAGTGGTTCGCTATATCAGGTGATTCCTAGAATACACGTGAAATCGATGAAATCGCTGCAAACACACACTGGAGTGTTTGCTAATATCCACATACATATATTAAGATTAGATATCACTATTTATAAAAACTAAAAGTCGAAACCTTCTCCTGGTTGAATCAATTGCGTAACGTATGCTTCTTACCTATTTAACAATAAATTGAATACTTCATTGTATAATGAAAACAATTATCAATACAAATCAGAGAAATAAATTACCCTGGCCCATAGTTACAGACTGCGAGGAAGTATTGACGTTTATCTTTCGTTTGACATTTAGTGACTCCACATCCAATATATGTAGTATTTTCAAAAATCATCTATTTTACAAAATATTAAATAAAAAAGAAATTTGGAGAAATAAAGATTGTAACACAGCTAGCCGGAGGTTTAATAGAAGTTAATTTACACCTTAATTTACTCCTTTGGGCTTTCTACATTGATTGGCTTAGTAATCCGACGAAAAATAGCAAGGTAGTAAGGTAGTTGATCCTCTGCTCAAGCTTACTCCTTTTTCAGGTGTCACAAGTGTATGGTAAACTGGTGAAGTTCTGTGGTAGAAAACGAATGTGAAACAATGAGTTTAGGGTGGGTCGGAAGGTGATATATATTGAAATCTAGGTTAGGACGGGATGATAGCTTACAGTTATAGTTAGGCGAGCGTTCAATGGACTACAGACTACCGACTGAAATGGCAATGTGCTTGTGAAATCGATTTTCCACTCGGAACACAAGAGAATAATAATAATAATAAATCGCTCACAAATGCCACCACCTTCAACGGCACGCACATAACTGCCTTCCAGTGGACACGGATCCTCCGAAGAAAGCAGAAATTCTAACTGAAATCCAACTACAAAAGGCAGCAGAGTCAGACAGAACTCCTTTACTCTGAGGCAGTGAAAACAGCCCCTCAAAATGTTGAAGATGTGCTGACGCCCCTAATACAAAAGGTTTTGAAAGAAGTAAGGAAATGATTTTATCGATTAGAATAAAGGTTGGCTATCTTGTTAAACTACTAAAGTAGTGAGATTTTGGCCACTAGAAAAACTGGCGTGGAATAATCAACTTCTCCACGCCAATCAAAATACTGAATATTGTCATCCTTGGAGATAACAAAGAATAAATTTAATGCAGAACTCGGCCACCCACCGGAACAAGTTGGATTCAGGAAAGGCTTATCATCTGCTAATCAAATACTGGCAGGCAGTGAATACAGGAATCCAGGTTAACAAAGAAAAGACGGAGGTGATGATGATTACCGGCCGACAGCAGCCGCGATAACGGCAACCAACCCAAATCACTGCCGATGGGAGAGAGATATAACAGAGGTTACATCCTCCACTTTCCTATGAGGCTTCGTCTCAAATACCAGTGAAACGGATGTCAGAATTGAAAAGACAAAACAACCAACACTTAGTGACAATGGTAAAATGCTTCAATTGCATTCATCAATCAGCACTTACCTGCAAGTAGTTTAGACATTGGCCACTGCACTGATGGTTTTTAAAATTATACGATTTATGCTGAGAGAACCATCTCTCCATGACACTAAAATAAAAATGTGATATACTTTTATTATTTATCAAGAATACTTTTCAACACTTGTACAAGTGCCAGCATTCTGTCCAACGAAACGAAATCTTCTGTTTGTAGGACTATTAGTTGATAGTTTACAGGTTCTCGATAATGCTTTCGCTTGACTAGCCAGTTCCTTATCCCATACCTGTAATAAATGGAGGAAGACCAAGGAGAATAGCAGTGTGTGTGTGTGTGTAAAGTAAATGTACACATATTTGTCAAAATGATTTAGAGTATCTTAGTACTGTTCAGGAAGACACCGAAGGTGAACGTGAACATGAGTGATTGTTATCAGTCCTGATTAATGAAAGAGAACACTTTAAACTCTACATAATCGAGTACATGATGCCTGCACTACTCACGTCACAAACACTTCACTGGCTACTAAGAACTTGTTGGTCTGATACTATAGTTCATTGTGAACTCATAGGGCAGAAAATGTAAGGAACCGCCTGTCCTGGGCAGCTGAACTCCAACTCACTTCCTCCGCATAACCAGTGATTTGTGTGAATGTGAATGAAAAGCTTCGAGTGGTGAACTTACCTGGGTGTATCTGTTGATTCCAATGCTCAGAAATATTTTTAAGGAGGAAACGAATCCTCTAACGGCTGTATCCTGGAGTAGCTAATCCTTTGTAGTGTGTGCACACTAAGCAGGGATCTACCTAAAGGGGTATGAGTCAAACTCCTTCAACCATCTAAAGGAATGGTCATTCATCTAATAAACTCTAAACTCTGCGTAAGGAATAATTTTATTCAATTACTGAAACTACACATCTGCTGTTGACTCTGCAACTAGGGGCCTTTTATTAAATAAACTTTCGTTGACACAAACAGGATACTGGGCAAAGAGTTGGTTGCATTCCTATTTTTCTGATAGAATGCAGTATCCTGTATATAACGGCAAATCTTCTGCCTCGCTTACAAAAGCCGGTGTTCCTCAACGTGCCGTCCTCTCTCCTTTTCTTTTTTCTTTCTTCTTATACGACCCGCCTTATTTAAGCAAAGCATAACTTTGTCAAACATGCGGATAAACTGACTGTATCACTGCCTACCACTTCTGAGTCTGACAGCTCCAAACTTAATAGCTTTCTGTTGGACATCAACAAGTGGTCTAAGTCAAACGGGCTTATGTTAAATCCTTCCAAATGTCAGGCAGTTGACTTTACTTTCAAGCATCGACATGACTCACATGAACTAGTTAGTTCGTATGATCCCTGTAGCATAGATTGCACGGAAATTGAAACCAAGTCAAACATTAAATACCTTGGATTAGTTCTTACCTCTGACCTTTCATGGTCATCACACATCTTATCTATCTCTAAGAAAATCTTTCGTCTTACCTTCTACATTAAAAAGTTAAGACGATCAGGTATCAACCAACCTTCAGTTTTGCAATTCTTAAACTCCTGTATTTTACCTATTGTACTCTATTGCTCTCCATTAATCTTTCCTGGGCTGCTCAAAAAAGATTATATCATATTACGAAGAGTATTAAATGCTGTGAGTAGAGCTTGTGGTCTGCCACTGCATGAGCTCGCTAATACTATAGTCGAGAGGCATATAAATTCCTGTACAAAATGGACAAAGGCCATACTGTCAGACCCTCTGCACCCCCTTTATTCACACCTATCCCCTTGTATCTCATCAGGTAGGAAGAGAAGTCAATACAGAAAGTTATATGCTCGTACCTCTAAGTACAGAAATTCTACAATACCCTATTTAGCCCGTACTCTATGTGATGAAGACTCTGTTAGACGTGAAACTTACAAGTTACTATGTAATTAGCACAGTGAATCGACCCTTTCATTGTTCATCTTTCTGTATTATATGGTGTCACACTTTCTATTGTTTAATTATAACTTTACTATTTTATTTTAGTTGTTACTACTATTATTACTACAATTTTGTACTTTATGCATATTTTTCTCCGTATTGCATACAGTATTTTGCTATGTAGCTGCTATAACAATCGTTTTATTATCATTATTATTATGTAATGTGTATTTTTAATTTTATTTTGGTCGATTTTTGGAGTAAATTAGATGCAATATTGTACTGAATACTGAAAATTCCTTGCTGTATCATTAGTACTGTTTTTCGAAGAAAGCAAAATTACTATTATTATTATCATTAAATCACCATGCACATGTCCCCGGGTTCCATCCTCAGCCAACGCATTGCTTTACCTCGACGAGCCAGAAATAATGCCGGTAAAAAGGAAGGGTTGGGCATGAGGCTAGCAACCCTATCCTGTAAAATAATTACCGCTACAGAAACTTCAAGCCACTAGCTTGAAGTTGCCCTGTGTTCCACTGGCGAACGTGAAGGGAAAAAACACTTTACAAAGAATACAATTCAATGAGGAAAATAAACAACACAAAATGGACTCACCAGTTGAGGCATTCTCTTAGCTGCTGGTTGTCCGTCCACTTTACACTGGAGTATCTGTCGACGATAATCATTATGCATTTGTAATATTTTAGCAGTATTTGCATCCCAGTCAGCCAGAGCTAGTGTAACTACTGAGAGAAGAATAATTTGCATTGAGAGCATCATGTTCCTGCTCACAATTATTTGAAAATGAAGGTCTTATATCTCTGTTTATGTATAATTATCTTCTTCTCAGCATCACATGACTACGTGTAATTGTTGTGAGGAAAACAGTGTCCTTAAATCAAATTAATAAACAGATTGTGTACACTCCAGTCACATGGGTTTACCTTAAAAATGGTTCAGGTTTGATGAGTGCACAGATGCATGAAAGGGCATTTATTTGCAAATGAATGGTGTTATGAATAGATTGTAAACATGTCGGTGAGTATGTTAGAATCGAATTCACTTGCATATGTTCTCCAACATATAAAACTAGGCCTAAAAGGCGTTTCTTCTATGTCTGTAGTGGTTAAAGTCGTTTGAGGCGTTGTTCATGGTTAGCTGAATTGCGTCACAAATATCCAAAGACATAAGTATTAGATGTGACACCCATGAAGGTGGTTACGGAAGTTGTGAATTTCAATAATCAAGTTCTATAAGATATAAAATGTGAAAGCCGTAAAGTAGCAGTCATTCGCAGAACATCTGTGTCCGACAACGATGTCTCTACCAGTTGTAAATTGAGGCTTCCATAAAACAGTATAATTATCTTCAGAATCGTACACAATTTAGCCTTTGCCGGGTATATCCCATTCACTGCAATCAAGTGACTAGCCTGTTCAACAAAAAAAGAGAAGGAGAATACGGACTTTCTGGAGCTCACAACTGATCTTGTGCGAATGCTGGTTTACCCAGGAGAGATGAAGGATAACAGCGATTGCGAACCTCTGGTGAACATTGCCCCCAGAATCCTAGCGGAGTGACCCGTGTATCATTTATTTCGAACACCGTCAGTCATTGTAACATAGCTACCGATTCCTTTCGACTGACTTGTCGATTGGACTTCAGGTTGGGCCCTCGAGGTTTAGCCTCTTTTAACACAAATACCTACTTCGATCTGATTGTCCGGCTATCACCAAAGTCGTCGAAATGCATGGAATACCTTTTGCGGCCTTTACCGCAGCAAGTAGCTTTTTGATAAGTCAATCATATTGGATACAACTGCCTTTTTATGAAAAGTAATTGACGAGATACAGTTAGATGTTATTATCAAAAGTAAGGGTATTGTGAATATAGTCATTCAGTCGTAACATTTAGTCACAAAACCTAATAACTTTTACATAACTAGCAAACGAATTAATTGCTTAACCTGGAAACAATTAGCGATGAGCATTATTCAGTAATGGTTGACACAAAATCACAGAAAATGACAAGCACTTCGATAAATGAACATCTTTCAAATGAGAAAGAGATTTTGAAATTTGAGAAAAAAGGGTTAAGTCAAAAGCTGAAATCGGTTAGAGGACCGTTGGAAAACTATCTGAGAGTACTGGACAGCCAGCTGTTTTGTCCTAGTGTGGAACTAATCACAGCACACACACACACTTCATCAGGGTTTTGAACCAGAACTTTTCGACTGACAAGGTCAGCTCGTCTCTAATTAAGCCACTATAAGCCTGTTAAAAGGTCGGTCTATGAATTCCCCTGTTCTGCCAATTCACCATATGGCGCAACAACCAGACAATGTCATCGCTAGCCAGTAATTGTCCCAATAAATAAACAGTGAAATGTAGTCTAATTTAGTTACACAATCGAAGTAAGAATACTATACTATATTACTTTTATTCCTTAGAGTTCCTAGTGGAGCAAAGGGCTCCAAGAACACATTTCTACTTTGTTCTGTTTTCTGCCGTTCTCTTCAGCTAGCTAGTCACATGACTGACCAATCTCTCTCATCTCTTCTTCAACGAACGATCTCCTCCATGTCACCATCGCAATGATGACCCACTGGAGGTTTCTCATTGGGATTTTACTCGAGTACTGGCCTATTGTACGATGTCATACAGCAGCCTTCTCAATGTATGCTCGATTCACCGATCCTCAGTTTCTACTACGTATTTGTTGAGCGATCGGCTTTTTCCATTTGGAAAAAGCACATAATAATAACCACCGGACAACACTACGTTTCGGGTTGTTGAGATGAAAGGTGAGTTTTCTTTTTTCGGCATAAATGATGATTCCTTCAATTTCAAATTTCGATTAGATGTTCACTTGAAATAATCTCCGTATATTTATTTCCATTTCGAATGAAGCATTCTTTCAAAGATTCTGATTGTTATTCGAGAGCGCCAGAACTACGGATATTTTTTTTACAGGAGAAGCAATGGATGCTATTAAAGTCACATGCAAATGCATAACCTTATCGAGTGACAACTCCGTATGTGTTTTTAATAGATACACCTTATTCATTCAATGATATCAGCAGTTGTGACTAAAATAACCCGACAATCTTGTTGCCATCCTCTTTCGTGAAAACGAATGCATATGAATGCGTATGAATCGCCAGAGAATATGAAATCTCTGAAGAGAGGCTATTCACTGAATTTTATATTTCTTATTTTCATTCATGACTGGATGGGAATTATTCATGATTGGATTTCATCATACAGTGATGGAACATAGCACCTATCACTGTTTATGGTTACGTCAGCCTAATAGCCTAATTTGCGTCGGTGGCACAGCGGTTAGGACGCTCTCCAACCATGCACATGGTCCTTGGTTCGATCCCCGACCGGTGCACTCCTTTACCTCGCTAAGCCAGAAATGATTCTGCTTAAGAGGAAAGGTTGGATATGATGCTGGCAACCTCATTCTGTAAAATAAACACTGCTAGAGAAACTTCAAGCTACTAGCTTGAAACCTTATGTTCCACTGAGGAAAGACAATGAAAAAAATGGCCCAATATTAACTGGATTATGTTGTACAGCGTGTTTGTGGAGAGAGAAGATAGAAATATGTCGGTCGACTGATAAGATGACTCTGGAAGATCTGGAATATCCCGTCTGATGTCATATAAACTCGAAGACATACAGGCGTAATCCAACAGGTGTGCTAAAGAGGCTTATGGCGAAAACAGGACTTCAAGTGGACACAGAGAAGATGGAGATCATAAAGAAAACCAACCAACCAACATCAAGAACAACAAGCTCCAGCCACTATCAACCTGGAGAAGTTTGGAAGAGATAACTTCCCTCACTGATCTTGGAAGTACTATCTCAACTACTGGAATATAATGTCGAAACCAGAGTCAGGATGGTGAGTTAAGCCTCCATCAATCTGAAATCAATTTGGAACTTTTCTCCACTCAATTGGCATAAAGAGCGAATTTCATATCAGAGGAAAGAAACTGTAGGAATGCTCCAACCGAGAACCCACTGCTTAAAAAATTTACAGAATAAAATGGAAATAGGTTAAGTACACTCTTAGAAGACGCGTAGATGATATGGCATACCAGGCCATCGCTAAAGTGAAACCCGAACGGGAACTGATGCATGCTGCGTTTACGAGTGACACTGAGTCGATGAAATGAGGAATATATCAGGGTCCATGGAAAAAAGTGAATCAGCTAAAGACGATGGCAGAGAATAGGACAAAATGCAGACGTGATGTTGAAGCCAAATATTTCGCTCGGTAATATTAATGATAACAATAATAATGCGCTATCGTCAATGGCGTTTCTGGTCGATATCATTACCAGTTACAAGCACAGCACAGTAGTCAGCTTTTTCTGTATGTCGAATTCATCTCTGTTAAAACACTAAGTTATTAGCTACCAATTAACAGGTGCACATCCATATCTGATGAAACGACTATACAAGTCAGCATATTCTTTTTATTCTTTTGCGATACCAGGGGAACATAGGATTTCAAGCTAGAGCTCTGAAATTTCAGTAGCAATAATTATACTTTCCTAGCGTAAGGTTGCTAGCCTCACACTCAAACCACTCTGTCTATCAGGTTTACAGTCAACTGGGAGGGGTAATAATGTGCCCCCGCTGGGAATTACACACCGGACCACGTGAAGTATGTTCGATAAGCTAATTTAAGTGATATAATTAAACCGTAATGCATTACTATAGTCATTAGATTATTTCAAAATCCATTCCCTTTATCCTTATGAACATGAATTAAAAATGAATTCACACCTGGTGTTTTGCATGACTGATGAAATCTAGTTCATTTACTTGTCCCTCATGTATCTAACAATATGTAGCTGAAGCTTTCTACCAAATTCTGTTATTATTATTATTATCATATCCTTTAATTTCTAGAGGAACATAGGGCTTCAGCTGAGCGTCTCCATTGCCTTCGATTTTCTGCCAACGTTTTCACCCCGCTCGACGTCTGCCCACATGTTTCCATCTCCCCTTCCTTCACATGACTTCCTCCAAGTCACCCTTGGACTAACAACTCGCCGCTTCCCTTTCGGGTTCCACTCGAGAGATGGCTTGTCTAGTGATGTCACGTGATGGTTTCCTCAGCGTATGGCCACTCCATCTGCATTTCCACCTGCCTATTTATTTCACAATCGGTTCCTGGTTGGTTTGCTCCTAGAGATCCCTGTTGCTTGTTTTAAATTTGCATTGGGAAATGAATATTCTCAATCGCTGTGACGATTGCTATGAGCAGCTTTAGAAGCTCTAGACTGTCTGGTCATAGTTCTCTTGGTGCTAGAAAACATCGGCTGATAACTGTTTATGGTATGCTGTAAAATCGTACTCAGTGGAATAGATGCCTTCAGTCTTTGTACCCTCTGAGATTCACTGAACCATCAAGATTTCTTCGTGATTATTAGTCCTCTTTGGAAACTTTTGTAATCACCTTGGTGTACCTTTGCATGTCATGCAGAATATGTCAAGCTTAACTGCAGCACGTTAATGAGACGCTCTGCATTAAAGATCAAGCATTCATTGGGTGGCTGACCTGTAAAACTACAGTGGGCTCATAGCAAAAGCAGCCCTCTTGTATGTGATCATCAGTTCATTGTTGCTTGCCAAATGGATTGTGAACTGAAGTTTGGATTTGGTTTTAGCACACATGTTACTCTGTTTTTCCAGCCTAACAAAATCCAAACAGTAAGACTTCAGATATAGCACAATATTTTTAAGGAAGTTAGTGAGAGGGAAAAAATTCGAAGATACTGATGAATGCTTCAAATACTTCGATAAGCATACAGAAGCTTCCACTGAAGTCTTGAGAAATCCACATCATATATGAGCAGCGTCTTAGCCAAGGATGAAATTAATGCCTGAATACATACATCGCTCTAGAGAACGTCATGCACATCGGATGCAAAAATAATCACTCCAATTTGGTTGGTACTTGACTTATTCCTTTATGGTGCAACGGATTAGTTTTCCGCCGAATCTGAGATTACCCATGTTGAGTTGAATGTAGATGGATTCTGAAATCATAGAGTAGGTGGATAAGTGAATCAACTGGATGAAGCCGAATTTCTCTGATCTTGGTGGTTTTATTATCCTTGTAGACCACGTCTTCAGCTTAAAGGTCAATATGAAGTGAACTTATTTATTTATTTTATTTTATTTTTGATTACAGCTTGATTCCACACCGTATTTTTGGTACAAGTGTGGAATTTTCAGCGTGGATATCGGTAGCCCAAAATTCGCAGGCCAACCATAGATATCAGGTGTGCGTCGGCGTGGGCTCGAACCCCGGACCATGTGCATGGTCGGCGAGAGTCTTAACCACTGAGCATAAAATTAGAGATATTCAGACTAGGATGAATAGGCCATCATGAAATAAGCAATTTGTGAAATGAAATGTGAAGAGGTACAAAGTGACAATGGAGATAATGTGATTTCTGGTGAGCGTGAGTAGTATAAATAGAAAATTCCGTAGAATCGAAAGAACTCTATAATGGAGGGTATAAATTTTAGAAACAGACTAGCAGGAACCGTTGAAAAAATGGAACGAAAAAGCGACAAAAAGTAATCAGAAAAGTGAAATAAACAAAAGGGGATTAGTAAAAGTGGCACTTCGGAGGGGAGAAAAAATTTCTATCCAAGTGTTGTCTAAGGTAGGAGCAGAGTCTAAATGTATACCGGCTGAGTCGATATTATTTCAACAGCTTTAGCTATATAGACAGATGGCATAAGCAAACTGTGAGTGATAGTGACTTCCAAATATGTTATTTGGAAATGCAATATGATTTGTAATGTATAAGGTATTCGGTACCCCAAGATTTAAGCAGGCCGCGTTGTTTTGTTTATTTGACGCTGAAGAGTATTTTGCTTCAAGTGAGCGTTTCAACCATTAGTATTTCATTCGAAGCAAAACCAGGCATTCAAAAGAAGCATCTCCTGATACCACTCACTTCAAAGTATAATCCATCTATTTCCTTCGAAAAATTCCCAGAGGCAGGTATGAAGGTATTTACACAGTTATGCTCGAGTATGGATCGCGACTCACTGTAGCTCGATTAGACGCTTCCAACAATATGAAATGAAGTAAGTCAAATGCTTTTTGAATGATAGAAAATTAAGGTAATTCAGTGACTTAAAAAAACCGCCAACACATCAGCACTAAAGATGGGTTGGGTGTAATTCGCTGTGTATCCAAGGGCTATTCGACGCGTATACTGTTTGCAAGGATATAAGAACAAAATCCTGAATGCTTACACAGTGCTAGTCATAGCTCTGCAAGCAATTCAATAATTAAATATCTTGTGAACACTGATCACCTCATCTCAACAAAGCCTTTTTTCACAGTATTCTACGAAAAAAGCGAAATCTGGCAAAGACAATAAACTGTGGTCTCTTTCACATTGATGAGGCATTAGTTATTCAGTTGAAGAGACCGGAACTATTCACACAAAAGAAGAGAATTCCAGTCACTTCTACTATCATGCAGAAAACCACGTTGATTTCTACTCCGTTAGTTTTCGTGAGGTTGTTTTTCCAACCCACTACAACTCTAGCATTTCCTTATAACGCTTACATAATTCAGCACAAAATATTTTTTTATTTTTATTTTATTTTTGATTAAAGCTTGATTCCACATTGCATTTTTGGCGCTAGTATGGAATTTTCAGCAGGGATATCGGTAGCCCGAATTTTGCAGTCCGATCATAGATATCAGGTGTGCGTCAGCAGGGGATTGAACCTCGGAGCATGTGCATGGTTGGCGCGAGTCCTAACCAGTGTATCACCAACGCACAGCACGGTAAGTCGTACATAACTGGCGACTTTTTTAAAACTTTCTTCTCAAAATCAAAGCTCTTCCTTAGTAATATATTGTGTATATGCAACCAGATTTTGCTACAGCTGGAGAAGTAAAGAATATATGGGTTTGATATGTCTATAACCACTTCTATGAGAATCTGGGACCAGTTTTCGCAGCATATTAGAGATATATATCTTTTATGATTGATTTGTATTACATATATCGTAGATACACTTGTTCTTCTTCTTAAAATAAGTACCATTATTCATGTAGAAGAATCTTATTCGTTGTTTCAAGATTGTCTGAAGTTGGTATCTATTCTTTCCTGTTGCCGAATACTGAGACGAAAAAAATTACTGACTGGTGAATTTCTGAGACGAACAGTTAAACGTTTGACCATTTCATAAGACACCTGAGACTATATGTATCATACGTTATTTCTAGCCATCTTGCCAAAATGGAATATAATAATCACAAAACTCGCTGATTGTAAATATAATCAGAATTATTCAACAACCAGCTGGAGCTCAAGCTGTATTTTTGACTTGACTACAAGTCATTATAGTGACTTTATAGTTAGAGTGAATAACTGAGCTTTTGATAAATTCTTCTTCAGACTCTACAATTATAAAGCCATTACTTCAATTTTACAATAGTCAGTACAGGCAAATTACAGAAAGTCTACTTCTTAGGTGACTAACTGATACGAAGAAAGATGCATGTAGGAATTCCATCGAAAAAAAGTTAAGGAATTATCATTCAGATGCATAACGAATGTTCACTTCATGTTAAACAATGACTTTTGTGAACACGTTGATAAGGTCGCCACGGCATCACCTCTGGGCCTTATGCTAGTGGCTATTTTCTTGACAAAGCTTGAAAATGGTCCGCCAAAATGACACGATTAAATAGTCCGACTATTATTATCATCGATACGTTGATGATACATTCATCGTTTGTGTTAGAAAACTTAATAAACAAGAACTTCGGAATGCTGTCAGTAGTATTCGCCCACCTTTTCAGTGTACACCTGAGGAAGAAGAAAATAACAGCATACTTTTCTTAGAATACCTCCTCATCATGAAGACAGACAGATATATATAAAGAAACTTATTTAGAAAGAAAACGTGGACTGGTCAATACACCCATTATCATAGCTTTGCACCAATTCAATACAAAAGAAACTTTAATGAGTTTCTAAACTAAAGAATAAAACGCATGTGCTCAGAGGAAAGCATCAAGGAATAAATGTGTACACTGCAAGAAAATGGATTTCCAGAGAACTTCCTTAAAAGTATATGTCAGTACCCAGAGATAGGGTAAAGGTGGACACCGTAGGTAAGAAACCTTTGTATCTTTAGTTAAGTTACAAAGGGGAAATTAAAACTCTCATTCTAAAATGTCGACTTAGCAGGGCAGTAGACAGAAAATTTCATGCAGCTGAATTGGTATATAACCTTTCAACTAAACCAGTACTCACACAACGAGAGAAGAATAAATTACCGAAGATGGCTTCATCAATATGTAACTATGATTTCAACTGCTCATGTGAAGCTATTTACACTGGCCGTACCTGGACATTTACTTGTTTGGTTGAGTTAAGCGGTAATCAAATGCGTAAACAGTGCAGTCCTTGCCCCCTCGATATATACTGGACACTCAATAAAACTTCACCAGGAGTTCTGAATTATTCACCGCTCTCTAGGTAACCTATCTAGGGGTGCTCGACTACTTATTCTATCAGTAACTGACGCAGTTGCAATCCATACCAGAAAACCGACTCTTTGTATACAGAAGAAGTTTGTTCAACCGCTATGTTTACCTTTGCATACAATAGGTTCGACAAGTTTCGATCATACTTTATTTTTTTCGTCGTCTATTCCTTTGATTCATTGACAAACGTTTATTTCTTTGACTTTTTTGATTTTATGACCCTTCTTATGATTTTTATACCTTATATTTAAGTAGTGCTTTTCTAACTTTCTCCAGAACAAGATGGATTCAGAAAAGGCAAATCATCTGATGATCAAATGCAAATCTTTGGATCATCAGCACTGACTTTAAAAAAAACCTTCACCAGACAGCGATTACCGTGAATTAATCTTGAAACCACTTCAGCTCTCTTACCTACATTGCTGTAAGTAGTTACCATTCTCATTCAACAGCTAACTATATGACAGTGAGACGTGTCATGCGATAGCTTTTAGGAATATTTCCAAGTTTGCCTTCGTTTCTGTGCGCACTTTGATGATAACTCATTGAATCCAGTAATCAACGTATTGCGTAACATATAGAAGGTCGTTTAGCGAGGAGGAGATGAGAGAATTATGGGAAATCGTGGGCTTAAATAAAGAGGCTAGTAGAAAAAAAGGTTAAAGTAGAGATGTATTTCTCTAGAAGCCCTAGGTTCCACTCGGAACCCAAAGAATAAATAATAGGAAAACACCGATTCAATTTGTGTTCTTTTTTACACCGAACAATACTAACAAATTTTATTTGGACAACTATTATCACCTTTGTTGTTACCATCTTTCATGCGGAAATCTATATCGGTGCAACTGTACAGGTAAACAGAGAAAATTAATCTGCCGACAAAAGCCCCTTCGCTGCAATACGTGACAGAATAGTTGGGAATTCTTCACGGTACATACATGAACGCAGTTGTAGGAATGAAGCCACAATTATTATTGTCATTATTATTATTATTATTCAAAATCTTTCAATCTTCTATCTGTTGTAGAGCAAAAGCCCACTTAAAATCGTCTGTAAATCTCCTCTCATCGACGACGTAATTCCAGAAAAGGCAGAATCAGTGAGTTTGATAAAATCATAAACTTTATTTGGGAAAAGAATATCAATTAAATTATATGAAGCAATTACTTCTGCACTTCGCCTGACTCAGTGAAAACAAACACATGTTTGAGCTATATTTCCTTTAAGATGCTGAGCAGCGGTGTATTGACTCCAGGTGGATTTGAGTTGTATCCAATCAGGTTCAGATGATCTTCTGGTATAGGATGACTTTCGAATTGGTGCTGTTGTTGTGGTAGTGGTAGGGGCGACAGTTGGCTTGGGCGCTTTTTGAGCTGGAACGTGTTTTTGACCACATTCATTTTGTGGCTTTGTTTCATAAGGATGTTGACCCTTCCAATTACCACTTCATAAGATATTAAAAAACCAAGGGTGACATTGTTTTAGTATCGTCATTATTATTATTATTCAAGGTTTTTAATTGCAATACGTTTTTAGCGTAACACACGGTTTCAAGCTTTGAGATTTGAATTCCATCGATAGCCTCACAACCAATCTTCCCTTTTTATCGGCTCAGATGAGATTACCGAGTGAGTAGTCAGTTAGGATTAGTATGCCAAACAGTCTGAATGGTTGTCGAGCAGTTAGCTGATGAACAACCAACGCGTAAACAGAGGCTGAGTGATCAACAAGCTTGCCTTGTAACCTGAATTGTTCTGAGTGTATACTGTGAAGAGTCCCAAATTAGGACGGCAGGAACAGGTGCTCACTACTATCAGGTGAGTACACAGAGACCTTTTAAAAAATTGTTATGATTTTTTTAAATATTCATCATCAAATTAACTCACCCTTCTCCGTAATTGCAAACGATGGATAATCCGTAGTCTGAACGTGGACAAACTTTCACACCACATCCAACGTGTGTGGTTTTCTCCCAGACCATCTGAAAAGACAAAACCATTAATTATTCCTTATAGTTTGGTTTGTAAGGCTTAGTTATGTTTTACGAGTTGATCACGGACTGATATCAGGTTGGAGTTTCCTCAGTTGTAGTGAGAAGTCGTGACCAGTGGGGTAAAATTAGATGTCACGTGTGTGGATGGATGTCCCACCAACGACACTGGTTGAGGTCGCGCTAAATGCACCACGAATTGGTAAAAGTTAGAATTCATGGACTGACTGGCCATTGAATCAGGTCCCAGTGGCTGGTTGAATGGTATACGAGCCAGCTTGCCTTGTAACCAGAAGGTCCTGGTGTTCGAATCCCAGTGGGTGCGTGCTGCCGATGATTTTCAAACTAGGATGAAACAGTAGCTGTCCAGTACTTTCAGGTTTTCAATGGTTCTCTAACTGATATCAGTCCGTGATCAACTCATAAATTATTGACAGAGAATAGAATATTCTCATTCAAAGACCTTTTTCGATATAAACGTGTCAAGAAATTCCTATTCATCAAACGGTGGTACAGTGATGAGAAAAGACGTCATAGATAATAAAATTGATACTAAGATATTTCATTTCATCTTGTGTCTAACCATATGACAGGAACAATCATTGTGCATAAGTGTTTCAATAGTTGAATGCTCGTCCACCACATTTCATGTGCTGTAGGGTTCGAAATCTGGCTGGAGGGAGTACTTCTAAATCTCATTTAATCAGTATTAAGCTTGAGAAAGACGAAAGTCTGAGCAAGATTCAGTTATCGCAGCCATGGTAGATAATCGACACGACTGTCACTGTAGTTTACATAGATTGATGCTGTAGGTTCCATTCAAAATCCTGATCAAAAAAACACAGAAATGTCGAATATCGAATACTGTCATATTCAAATATCATTGACCGTGTCTGTCGGAGAATCACATGAAGAAGATTGAGTGTGACAATAGTGAAATCGGCTGAAACAAGAACACCAGAGTTCGTGTATTTCACTCAGAATTCATCTGGAACTCATTGACAATAAATATCGATTTTACGTCAAAGATGAACCTCTCAGTTGGCACGAAGGTAACTGGGGACAAAATGATCTATCTCAATTTAAATTTAACCAAACAAACAACTAACAGGGAAATAAACAAAAAGATATACAACTTACCTGTGTATAATGTCCACACATATAGGAACAGCCTTGTGTATAAAAATTATAATATTTATACTCTTCAAACCATGCTTTTACAGCTCTAAAATTTTTAAAATACAGAATAAAGCAAAACATATTCGTCTTAATCGCTTACATCTCAACCGTTGCACTTCCAGCTACATTTTGTCCAACATAACTAAATTTACGTGATTTAGGTTCGTCATGATCAAATATACAAGTATCTGCTAATTTTTGTGCAAGTTGGGCGAGCTCATTATCCCACTGCTAAATAAGTAAGTCAAGAGAAAAGTGGAAGCAAGAGAATCATGATTGAAATAATGACATTAGAGAAGAAAAAGAAGGATTGTTATGATGAGGGGTGGTGGTGGAGGTGGTTGTGGGCAGATAAACTTACAAGATCTGGAAGATATTTAGCTGGTGGTTGATTTGTTAATTCACAATTCATCACCTTATGTCTATATTCATTGTGCAGTTGAAGTAATTTCTGAAGTTCTGCATTCGCTGGTTGTGAGTTGACACTTTGTAGGCAGATGTAAAGTGATGAGAGGCAGAATAACCAATGAAGCAGCATTATTCCAACCAATTTTTTAAAAAAAAAATTTGTTCTATGCTGAGTTTACAGACGACAATTTATACCATCTGCAATCTATTTCTCTGTACATACTTCACCAATGAAATTATCTGCACACCAAAATGTTATTGGCTATTTAACTGTGCTTATGATTTACAAGGATGGTTTTGTTGAATTCAGGTAAACAGTGATAGGTACAGTGCTACTTACTCTTTCTTTTGTAAAAATTCTCATAATTGACCAAATGTTTCAAATTGTACGCCTCCCACTTGCCATCTGTTTTTATATACGTCTGTATATTTGCTGGTATTGTGGCTTAATTCGTGTTAACTGTTCATTACGTTTGCTTCTCGTCTCTGGCTGGAATTTGTATGTTCACTATCGACTGAAGTTAGATTTGACACCACAAAAATTGCTACTAGCTATTCAATGGTTTGGTTAAGCTGTTGAACTGGTGTCGTTTCCCTGGCTTTGCCACTGAATTGATGCCAAGAATTCTACCTAACTTGACTATTTAGAGGAAGTAAAAGTTGTAAGTGAACCTGTGGAAGGACCACTATAAGATCTTTGAACATGTACTCAAAATGAAGCAGGAATACTGTTCTAGGTGTGCCAGTAGGTGTTGGTTGGCGTGAAAAGTCGATCAGATTGCGGGCATATAAACCTGAAGGATTGAATCATATATGTTGGTTGGCATAGACAGCAAGTTGGTAACACCATTAATGACACTATTCGCCTGTCGAGACGATTAGCCTTATAGCATATTGGTTGTCTAATGAGTGTTGTTTAGCCTGAGACCGGCGTGTCACCGGCCTGTTCTATGTGGTAGATATGCGGCCCTGGGCTATGTGCAATCTCGGGGCGGAGCAAGAGCCTATATTCCATATTAGTTTGTTTATTAGATGCATCACATAGCGAAACAGTTTTATTTCCTGGAGGACACAGTTTTGAACGAAATGTATTGCCATTCATAATCATATCGATCATAATCTTACGACTTTGAAACTTGCGTTTTACAGTTTTCTTTGTCCTCTCATATTTGTTGCTGTAGGGGGAGTATAACTTCCCAGATGTCTGGGTGGACAGGTGTTGAATCATTCCTATTACACAGGTTTGTAAATGATTCTATAAACAAAACTTCTGTTATCAATGTCTCCCTTCATCTTGGAAAATTCGATTTTTAAACTGTCATCCTATCCCAACCATCCTATTGTATGGTTGTGTGTAGTTGCATGTAGTACTATAACTGATTTATTCTCTAGATTTCTTATCCTATTTAGGTCAACCAATCTAGATTTCAAATGAAGCGAGAACAACAGTGGTTTGTGCAGAATAACATGGTACCATCATTTATTTCGTTGGCTTCTCATCAGCTGCTTACAGCCTAAATAAATTTTAGGTTTTAGTACAAAAACATTTTACCATACTTGCAAATTTTACATGTTGTCAGTTGACAGTTCCACAATTACTGAACCTCACCCACCTTTTATAATCTGTAATTTCGCTTGTCTCTTGTTTCTATGATTTGAGTTCAACTCAGTACATTGTTACCTAACTTATTAGTCACTATGCATCTAACGCACATCTCATCTTTATTATATAACTCCTTCATCATTATATGCATACATTTATTTTGTTTTCACTTGAACTACCTGTGTAAAAACTTAACAAGCGCAATTTTCTGAGCACTGTTTACTAATTGTGGAGATTTCTGTCAACTAACAACATGTAAAATTTGCAAGTATGTTAAAACGTTTCTGTACTTGAACCTTAAAATTTATTTAGGCTGTAAGTAGCTGATGAGAAGCCAACGAAATAAATGATAGTACCATGTTATTCTGCACAAACCGCTGTTGTTCTCGCTTTATTCAAATTCATCAAGGGGAATAAAGGCATGAATCTAGATTTCGCTACTAGGTTTTAATGTTCGGCTAGTCTGACTGGCCCTGTTCTACTAGATTCACCTATGTATTTGACCTGACAATCATTGCAGGCAGCTGTATACGTTAAACTAAGTTGTTTTTTCTCAAAAGCTACATAAGGTTATTCCTTTAAGCGACAAAGCTGGTTTCTAATTGAGTTTGTTTGTGAGCAGTTTGAACGCAAGCCTTTTTCATTCCTGCCTTGTTAAGAATTCTGCGTAACGTGGTTTTCGAGGTTCCTTCCTTGTATGGAATTACTACTGATAATTTAGATTCGTTATTGTTGATGTAGACATTTAAATGTGTATGTATGTATGACTGTGAATTTTGAATGATTTCAGCTACATGTATTCTATTGTGAATCGATATGTACCTGAGTAATTTGGAATATTCGCCATGCACGATGTGATAACTAGTTTGTGAACGAGTTCAAACATCATAATAATGATAATGAAATTATTACGCCTTCTACTCACAAAACACTCCTCAGAACACAACATGCTATTCCTCGAAATTTGAGAAAACCGTTACTGCATATAATTTGCCTCGGAGCAGCAGATCGAGCGAAAAACTATTTACTTTTCAATAAGATCCTCATCTCTCTCTGCCTATATATTCTGTCTTGCATTAAGAAAATTGCAAGGTAGAAATGGATATAACACTTGGATTGTATAAAGCGTATTCTCGAAATAATAAAGAGTATTGTATAGACCAGTAGGCAACCAGTTCCGATGAATTCTCGAAACAATATTATTTAAAACGGTCATCTCATATGCTCTCTCCCAGTTCATTATTCGTCCATTCTCCATTAGGAATAATACTAGGGGGGATTAACAGTATGATCAACACTTTTCATGGTTTTTCAAATTAATTACAGTACATTCACACAGGAAACATTATCCAGAGAATAGAAAAATTTTCTTTTGTGTGGTAAAATGCGTCCCTACATATTAGGACGGTTTTCTAGATATTGTGAATGAGCAGAGAATCACTTGAAATATAAAATAAGGTACTACTCCCAGGTAACAACATGTTTCTCACTGTTACCCCTGTGAATCTGCTTCACCTTACTAAAAGTACAATAACTAGAAATGTGTGAATTTCAACAGCTTGTATTAGGCATATTTATGTAATTTCAGAATATCACAGAGAATACTAAAGTACTTGTAATTTTCTCAAATTCACACTTTTTGTAATATGAGTGAAAGTTGAATACAATGATTTGTGTGCCTCCAAGGCCTCAGGATGGTCGCGGGTGGGTGCCTTGCGCTGCGGGTTGGCCACCCCTCCGCACACCTATTGAAATGCTCCCATATGACCGGGCGTCTTACATAGCCTCTCCTGAGGAAGTCCCACTCACTGCCTTCACGTGGCGGGGGTGTTTCTCACCAAAGTGAGGGGGCAAAAGCGGATGCCCGGCGCTCTCCACCGGGTTGACTGTCCATTGGATGACAGTCTAGGGGAGATGGCTAAACCCTGATTCCAAACCTCCAACGACTGGCGTATGAAGCTCACTGGAGCTCACCGGCAGACGTATGGACAAAGGGCTTGTTGGATGTCCTGGATGTCTGGCCCCATTCAAAAAGGCGTATGAACCGAACTCCGGTCACCGGCTGCCAATGGATAGTGGACTCCTTACTCCACTCCTACTGCCTTCTAGGTCACACTTGGTTGTGTAAAGGCTAGAGCTGCACTCTCAAACAAAAGGCCGAGCGATGCTGGGGACATCACCCGTATGAAATTCCCATGAAACTTCATGAACTCTCCTACAAACAACTCTCACCATGCTACGGCGTTCCCGGTAAGCGACGCGTCCTGTGCTCACCCGGTGGGCAGTGTGAAAAGTAAGCCAGCTGGGAAATTAACACTTAGAAACCAACTATTTGTTGGCTGCTGGAATGTTAGGACGCTGTTGGATCCTGGTAGCCAGTCTATCACCATGCGTTCTTTATACGACTACAAGGTGGACATAGCGTGTCTATCTGAAGTGAGGTTACCCGATCATGGCTCCCGCCGAATAGCCGTACCTGGAACAGATTCTTCATTCTGGTTGCTTCATAGTGGACCCCAGAACAATTCGGGACAACATGGAGTAGCATTTGCTCTCAGTAACAAAGCCAATAATGCCCTAATATCATTCGAACCGGTCAACTCCAGAGTTACAATCGCTAGGTTCAAGGGTTCCCCGCTCGACATTTCTGTTCTCGCTGTCTATGCCCCAACCCTCAACTCTGGTGAAAGTATCAAAGACGAACATTGACGTAAATTACTGTCTACCGATTTGGCTAGCAGCGAGATCTCACCACAAAACAATTTCGACAACACTACTTCCCAGTCACTTCAGTGAAATTCTCGGCTTCTAAACGTAGAGAGAAAGTGTTTCTAAATGCGTCCCCAATAGAAGTGAAATATATAGCATTGCCTTGTCATTCCACTCGAAAACATTGTTTTCAAAATGCACCTTTTATGTTGAAATATCTACATTACAGGCTGATATGGAGGTCAGTTAGCCCGAAGGAATGGAGCTTATTCTCTAGGAACGAGAATACAATAGCGTTGTGATGGTTGAAGTTGTCTAATATCTGAGAAATAATACGGTAATGAAGTAAGCATCCCTTGATGGTATGAACCTAAGGAGCTCTAAAGTGAAAAGCGCAACTCATAGATGCCTATTGCGTGTTACGTCTACATTAGAAACGCCAATGATCATCTCTACGTGCAAACATTCACGATATTTGCATTCTTGAGATCGTGGAAAACGGCTTGAGGTCAATGAAAATGATTACCGTTGCATATGGGTTTTGGAAACAGTACATCTATCATCGAGAAGTGTCTTTCTGTGAAGTAAAGAGACTCCGTGGAGACTCACTCGTAGAAATATCGAATGCAACTTTTTATCTCATTCAGTGAGAAAACGTTTCACATCTGAACTCCTATTCACTGCAGAACACCTGCGATTCGAGCCAAACCAATCACTCAACATTTGTTTTCATTATGTTAGAGAGGGGAATAAAGATCCTGTTCAAGCAATCACTATTCCCAAATCGACTTCGGATAAGAAGCGAACTGGACAGTCAACCTTGGAGACATTCATAGAGTAGGAGGGAATCTTT